GTAGTATACGTAATTGTAGTAGTAGCATGTGAAGGACACTGTTCAGGAACTAGTTGTACCAAATGCTCTGTATGTGAGGACTACTTTCATTCTTGCAAAGATCATAAATACAGGGATCCTGATATTGAAGCTCAAGCCGGTGACGAGTGATATTTTTCTAACACAGATCCAAACGTACTTTGTTCTGTCCTGTGCGAGGAGGCAGTCGACGGTGAAGTGTCTGCGCTGAGGCCCGTGGCGCTGGAGGAACAGCCGGTGTTAATCCCAGCCGGTGACGGTTCAGCAGGCTGCAGTGGGAACCAGTGGAGGAGGGAAGGAGCGTGAAATCCCCGACACCTGGTGGCTCTTTCTGCACAGAGTCTGCAGCTGGTGAGGAGACACAGCTGCGGCTCCTCTGCACCTCCAGCCACTTACACTGGGCTAACATGCACTGATAATGAAGAGTTCACCTGTAGTCCAGTTATTATCCAGCTCCACTGTTATGGATATGATGTTTAGTGGCAAAGACTACTGTAGGAATGATGCTTTTTGATTATTACTAGATTTCAGTGGTTTAACTCATTCGAAAAAGTTAATGGGACACACTACAGATATTGAAGTGACTGTTATTTTGTATATATTGATTGTTGTGTTTTTATGTTAATTTGTGCACATGTGTCTGTAGATTGTGTATATATAGGATAAACATATTTTATACATATTTTTATATATATTTGTATTCGGGATTGTGGGAAACGGTATTTCAAAAGATTGACAATAAAGTTGACTTTGACTGACTTTGACTACAGGTGTATAGGGTAATTTGTTTTCACTATAGTATAAATATATCACCATAAAACTTCCCAATATGCAAACTAACATTAAGTCAGTTGTTTTCGTATGTCAAGTTTTCTGAAATGTTTTGTTTAAATATGCGAGAGACATCATCTTATGCTACCTTTAGAGAATTTAGGAGAAATCTGAAAGACGCAAAAAGCCACATTTAGTAAAATAGAAATAAAACAAATGTTGGTGGTGTTACCTTTGTGATTAGTTGTTACCTAACTGGACTGCTTTTATAATAAGTTGGTTTCATCACTCCCTGATTCTGTGTATTTCTGATTAAAATGGAGTAAAACTGGAAGTTTTGAATACGTGTGAAATCCAGTGTGTTGAAGCGAACTCACTGTGCAATGACACAATTATTTACAGAGCGTGAATTAACCCACTGCTGCTTTATATAATCAGAGAATTAATAGCTCATTGACTCTAACTTATAGTAGGCCGGTGCTGTGGTCAAAGCCTAGGGATGCAACAAAGCTGTTCAAACAGTACTAATCACTTATTATCAATATTAAATTGGGTTTTGCAATTATTAGATATTTAAGAAAACCAATGTTACCTCCTTTTGTTATGTTAAAACATTACAGAACTCCCTGGATTGGTAATGTTGGTTTAGGATGAATATGTTATACTGAAGAAATGTTTAATATACGTTTTTGTCATAAAGAGACATTTTGAACCTCATCTACAGTCACAAGCGGGTCAAAATGAGGTACATCTATAGGGGTCCCAGGACACTCCCCTGTGGGACTCCACCTGACGATTTTAAGTTAAAAATTAAGTCAAACATTTTTTCTCATGATATTCGACTTCACAAAACATTCATTAGTTGGAGAAAGACAAAAAACTATAAGACCCAAAAATAATTTGCCTATTTAAAAAGTTGTGTAAAAAGAGTCCAAACACTATAATTTAGTTTTAAATTTACTCGCTGGTGTCTTTTTTTGAACTAACGACAAATATAGCTTTTTAACTGCTTGACATAAATAGACCACTAAATCATCAGATTCCAGACTTTGAGAAGCCCCTATTAGTCTTTAATTGCTTTTCATTTTCCTCTTGAAGGGACTCGCTTTGAAATATCTGTTTTTTGTGGATGTAAAAATGTTACTGGCTCAATGCAACGCGATTTAGCAGCACAGATCAAAACCATAATGAAATGTTTGTTTTTTAAGTCGATGTGATGTGGTTGTTTTCTGACTCGTTTCATCTTTGGGTGTTTTAGGGGTGTTTTCACCATCTGTGTGTGTGTGTGTGTGTGTGTGTGTGTGTGTGTGTGGTGTTTTTCATTCATATTTGTAATAGAGTTATATAATTGCTTTAACCACTTCATAGTACATAGAAGTGGGAGGAGAATGCACATGAAGTGTCACTCTAATTGTGTACTGCATTATAGAATCAGTAGAGTAAGTTGAAGTTAAATAAGAAAGCGTTGAGAAATAGGAAATTATTCAACAACAAGGCTAAATTGTTAAAAACATGTATTATGGCTTGTGTGCTCGTCCTATCAACTCTTATTTTTTATACAAAAAGTGCTTAGGTGTGCCTTTCTTTAGTGCACAACTTTCCCTAATGAGGTTGGAATGCCTCCTTTTACACTTTTTGTTGCATACATGGCATTACAATGCACACACACACACACACACATACACACACACACACACACACACAGTGCCACGTGTTGGCTTCACTGATCTCCGTGTGTTGTGTTCAATGGTGTGTAAAGTGCTGCCGCTGCGAGTATTAGCCTGTTTATCAGAGTGTGTATTAACGTGCTGCAGCGCAGGGGCTGGGGGGGCAGAGTGTGTGTGTGTGTGTGTGTGTGTGAGCGTGCTAGCAGGGGATCACAGGTGTGTTTGCGAGCTCCACAGAGAGACTTCTTCCCCCCCATAACCCCTGCGCCCCTACCCTGAGCATCCTGGGTAATATCAGCGCACCGAGCACCTGCGTCCCTATCCCACAACCCCCCCCCCACACACACACACACACACACACACACACACACACACACACACACACACACACCTCTAATGGCCCTGTATCAGCCTGCCATACGGCTTAATAGCCAGCTGTGAGCAGAAGTCCAGTGGAGCGCACCACACTCACTGATGCAGTTGTAACATTAGATGTGAGCTAACTACGATGAACACACACACAAAGAGCACATTTTATGCTTTAGCTGTGATTTTTTTTTTTAACTAAACTAGTTTTTAATGACACAGAGCTCACACAGTACATCTAACTAGTGAAGATGGAGAGTTCGTGTCAGGGTTCCCCGAGGCCTCCTCATGTAAAATTCAGTTGCTTTTTCTATAACAAAGTTTCTCATCCTGGTTTCCACTCCAGTTGAAAATCATGTAATGTGAAACAGGGGAAACAAAAGAGGACCGATTTGTTAACTTTTGGTAATGGGAGCAAAGGCCATACAATTCCTCTCATTTTTTAAACTCACGTATAAAAAACGTTGCTACCTGCAGAATATGATTCACGTCAGATCAGCACCTGACGTAGAAAGCATACTTTTTTTAATTAAACGCAACATGAATGCCTCCCCATCAAACTCAGAAATGCTTTGAATATAAGTAGCTCTGGTTTATGCCAATTATTTTAATAGTTTTGGACTAGTTAATCAAGTGTATTCAGTATGGGAAACAAAGCTAACATTACTTCAAAATGACTTCTCTCCTGTAATAAACCTTTTTCTCGTGCAATGAGGGGTCATTCAGGTGCACTCAGTTTCAATGTTATCTTCAAATAAAGCAGTTTAGCCGATCTGTGACAACTGATTAAAAAATGTTGGCTCCACTCGGCGTAATTATATGTCATGTTTAATGGAGGCTTACCACAAGTTCTGCCTGGGGGGGCTCCATTAACAGACCCACTGGGAGCAGTTACTTATAATCTGTAAATTCACACAAAAAACTATTATTCAATAAGTATTCACTTAATCGGGGAGAGGTTGACAGATGGAGAGATACAGACATTTGTTAGCGTGGCACTTGATAAATTACTTCAAATTGTTGTCAGGTGTCCTGGCAAGTTTCAGACAAGAAGCTGCTCAGAGTTAAAGCTACGACTCGATCATTAATCTGTATCTAATTATTCCAGAGTCACAAGTTATCAACAACTGCTTCTATAGTAAAAAGCACTTTCCTGCAATCAGCTAAACAATACAAAAAAAACTCGCACTGTCTATTTAAGGTCAAGTTTTGGTCTTTGTCATGGTTCAAACTAGAAAAGTGTAGTCTCATTTTAACCAAAACATCTCTCACACACACACGCACACACACACACACACACACACACACACACACACACACACACACACACACACACACACACACACACACACACACACACACACACACACACACACACACACACACACACACACACACACACACACACACACACACACACACACACACACACTCAACAGGGTGCACTAGTCCTCTGTCATGAGATGATGGACGACAGATTGTGGGCTTCACCTTTATCCCGATAGCAACAGCTGAGAGCAGAGCCTGCAGTGATCCCTGAGGACCGGACCCTCACACACTCTCACACACTCATTCATCATCTTCACACTCACGCTGCTTCAGAGCAGTTCCTTCTCCTTCATTTGTGTCTCAGACTCGGCTCAGAAGAAGTTAAAAAGGACTCGTCTTACCCCTCCCCTTCCCTTAATGCATTGTACACTTTGCATTTTTTTACAACTGCTGTTTTTACACATACTGTCTGTGGTTACATTTGCATTTCACAGCTGTTCTTTTTATAAAGTTTGTGGTTAGAGTTGAGGTATGTGAGGGCTGAGGATCGGGAGTGGAATGACAGATTTCTTGCTTTCTTTCACACGGAAACATGAAGCCTCTCTCACGTCTGTGCATTTTAAAGGGGCACATATCCTGCTCATGTTCAGGTTAGTATTAGTGTCTCTACTGGGACATGTCTCATACTGCCTGTGCTGCAGCACCTCTTTTCACCCTCTGTCTGATACCAGAGCCCAGTCTGCTCTGATTGGTCAGCTGGCCGGCTCTGTTGTGATAGGTCAACCGCTTAGAGATGGAGCGCCAGCCAATAGAAGCACATATGTCACTATGCACGTCCAAAATGACGTATATAACTGGGTTGGAACAGGTTTTTTCAGCACAAACAGGGCACATTTTCCACAAAAAAAGGACATTTTGTAAAAGTTTTATCAGAATTTCATGTCCCGCTCGCAACAGAATCAAACAATGATTAAACATCAAAGTGGAAACAGATCAGAGACTCGTTGTGCTCCATCAGGACGGAGATCAGTGACAGTGGTTGCATCCCACATCTGATCCGTTGTCAACATTTACATCATAACGTAAAGGATCCTATAAACGTAACACTGTGATCCTGTTTTTGTCACATCAAAGAAAATAACAGCAAAAATGTAATTACAATAATACTCCGATTTAAGTCAATATAAAGTTAGCAATAAATATAAAAGGGAGGGTAGAGAGTTTCACATAGAGCTCGTTTTTATATATGTAATTAAGGATTTGAGGTACGACTTCCAGATGCAATTACCACGACTTCAGCTTCTTTCAGTGTTTTAATTTGTATTTATTTCTAATATCTGACCAGAACAAGGTTAGCTGAAGACTTCAAACTGTTGGGAAATGATTTGTATAAAGAATGTTTGTTCATTTTGAAGCATCAATGGAGCTTAAGGACCACATTAAGTCTCAAATGTCCCTCAAATTGGACTTTTCGACACATTTTTGCCAAGAGAAATACCTGACTTTCAGCATTTCTGGTCAGAAACTATTTGTTTTATATTGTTAGACCATGTCAAATCCAATTAAATGTAGACTACTTCTCACACCCTCAGTGAAAACCTCCGTCACTCCACATAAAAAACGTACATAAATAAACGTCTCAAATCTCTCGTGTTGCATAATCCACTTCTCCTGTCCTTTGAGATAATCATTCCTTATCAGCTAAATACAAACGTCCATGTTATTATATTAAGACTATGATTGTGATGAAGCTTTGTGCTGAATAAAACTATGACAGAACTTTAAAAGAAGTGGATTGTGCTGCAGGACGACTTTGAGTACCACCTTTAACATATTGAGAAGATTTCAGATTTAAGAAAAAGTAACCCAACAAAAAAAAAACGTATTTCAGCAGAGTGTCAAATCTCGTCTTCAGGCAGCGTTAAAGCACAAATACTGGAAGTGTCTCCGATCCCTTTTCAGTCCGACATTACTTAAATATATAATTCTCCTCAGATTTTATCGAGCTCTGATCCTCAGCTCTGTAAAGGTGTGTGTGTGTGTTCCCAGGTAATCTGTGTGTGTGTTCACAGTGTGTTATCTCTGCTGCTCTGCAGAGGGGGGGCTGTCCAGGCTGCTGTAGGGGGACAGAGTGGACGAGGGTTTCCCATCATCCCCCTCTTCTTCTTCTTTCTCCACATCTCCTCCTCCCTCTGTTCTCCCCTCCTCCACGGACCCTCCCCCGTCCTCTCCAGACTCCTCAGACACAGACTCCCCTCTGACCCCCTCCTCGTTGGGGCTCCCCCGCTCCTCCTCCCCTAGGACCTGGTTGTTGTTGTGGTGCTTGTTGTTGTAGCGCTGGTTCTGGAAGAACTTGACGATGGTGTGTTTGGGCAGGTCCAGCTGGGCGGACAGGGTGTGGATGGCCTCCTGGTCGGGGTACAGCCCCACGTCCCCGATGAAGCTCTGCAGGGTGCCCAGCGCCTCCAGGGAGATCCGCGTCCGGGACCGTGCCTTCTTCTGTCCCCCAGAACCAGAACCAGAACCAGAACCAGAACCAGCAGAGAGGCCGGGGCTCCTCCCACTCTGAGACCCGTCCTCTGAGCCCTGAAGGACCAGCAGAGGAAGGGGCTGAGGGTCCTCATGAACCGGAGAGGGAGAGGTGAGGGGGGGCAGGAGCGGCCTGTGGAGCACCTGTAGGAAAGAAAGGGAAGGATTAAACTTGAACTTTTGTTGTGTAAAGAAGTTCATTATAGGATGTTCAGTTCATTATAGGATGTTCAGTACATTATAGGATGTTCAGTACATTATAGGATGTGACAGTTCATTATAGGATGTGACAGTTCATTATAGGATGTGACAGTACATTATAGGATGTGACAGTTCATTATAGGATGTGACAGTACATTATAGGATGTGACAGTTCATTATAGGATGTTCAGTACATTATAGGATGTGACAGTTCATTATAGGATGTGACAGTTCATTATAGGATATGACAGTACATTATAGGATGTGACAGTACATTATAGGATGTGACAGTTCATTATAGGATGTGACAGTACATTATAGGATGTGACAGTTCATTATAGGATGTGACAGTACATTATAGGATGTGACAGTTCATTATAGGATGTTCAGTTCATTATAGGATGTTCAGTACATTATAGGATGTGACAGTTCATTATAGGATGTTCAGTACATTATAGGATGTGACAGTACATTATAGGATGTTCAGTACATTATAGGATGTTCAGTACATTATAGGATGTGACAGTTCATTATAGGATGTTCAGTACATTATAGGATGTTCAGTACATTATAGGATGTGACAGTTCATTATAGGATGTGACAGTTCATTATAGGATGTTCAGTACATTATAGGATGTTCAGTTCATTATAGGATGTGACAGTACATTATAGGATGTTCAGTACATTATAGGATGTTCAGTTCATTATAGGATGTTCAGTTCATTATAGGATGTGACAGTACATTATAGGATGTGACAGTTCATTATAGGATGTGACAGTACATTATAGATAGCACATTCTTAGCCCTGATTGCTGAATGCCTACACCTGAGGGAGCTGCAGAAAGCGAGGGGGGAGGAAGACACGCACAAACACACACTACACTACAGCACGTAACTAAAGAGAAGAAACTGATTTGGCAAAATTAGTAGGTAATGTTTAATTGTTAAAAAAAAAAGGTCAACTAATGACAAACAAAAGCTTTATGGTTGTGACAACATAAACAACACACAAGTCAGAACTGCCTACCTTAATTGTCATAAATATTTAAATCAAAGCTCAAGGTACTACGGCAAAGACCACCAGACTCAGGGACAGTTTTATCCCACAGACCATAACACTGCTAAACTCCCGAGCTGGCACTTCTTTTGTATAACTTATATATATTTATAGTTCTGAGAAACTGTTTCTCGTGTCCATGCTGCCTTTATTTCTTCACTTTGTGAGACGAACTACAGAGGTTGGTAGACGTTGACCCGTCTCCTTGGTAGTGGTCCTGTTTTTGAGATATTCACAGTGATGTTTCACAACATGGCATGACTGACTTAATGAATAACAAACTAAACGATAACCGGTGGCCACCAGAGAGACCTCCAATAAGTATAAATGTAGCAAACAGAACTTTTACCCTGTTGGGTTTTTCTCCTGAACATCTGCACATAGCAAAGACCATTTGAGGTCTGTTGTACCTTCTAGAGTCAGTGAAATACCTTTGAAGTGTAACCGGAGTTATCTGTTTTATTTTGGTAATATTATATGTATTTCTGAACGGACCATACCACAAAGACACAGAAAATGAGCAAAAGAGAGAGACAAAAAGAAACCAAACCACTACAGAGAGAAACAAATGACTACAAAGAGACTGAACTGACTACAATGAGAAAGAAATGACTATAATGTGACACAAAACCACTACAAAGACGAACAAAAAATACACAAAATGACTACAAAGAGAGGCAAAAAGTGTGGGACAATGACCACACGAAATCACAGAGGGACGCCTAATGATTACAAAGACAAATGGTTTTTACGAGCATATAAAATGAACAGAGAACGGGACAAAAGTAATTTAAAGACACTTCAGTTTTGATCCAGCATCACAGTCTATGTGAGCAAGCCTCATGATATGTTATTAGACTATAATAAACTCTTCAGTGAAGCAAGAGTAATGTAGTACAAGCGGAAGTGTCAGTGACCAGCTCACATGCATGCTAAATTCTCAACTTCTACACACAAACAAGCACACACCCCGAAAGCTTATTAACAGGGTGGGGCGGCCCACACACCCAAACACAGGAATCCAGCCCCATAAATCTGTGGTCCATCAAAATTAAAGGACCTAAATAAAGATAATGGCAATTCCCCTTTTCTCTGCGTCAATAATTACAGGGAATGTTCTGAATAATATTGAGGTTTCGGGCCAGACTGGAGAGCGTTTTGGTTTCGGGGAGAGGGTGGGATGGAGGAGTGTTTAGCAGGAAATGTGTGGGCTGGTCATTTACCACTTCTATTTTCAATGACTTATGGGACACAAGTATGACACAGAGGAGGTCTGCTCAGAGGAGCAGGTGGTGGGATCCGACAGAGGGAACTTTTGTGAGAAGAAATCGCATGCTTCTGTTTGGATTTCTCACTCGTAAAACACTTTGATTTGTGTCTTTAGCTCGCACATGGCTGCAGAGTCGTGAGAGTGGTTGTGCGTTTTGAAAAATGCTTTCTTTTCCCCTTTGGAGACAGATTTTAAGCAGTTTTTAAAACTAACCACATTTCATCACTGATTTCCTAAGTGAAAGTCTGGCATGCTGTGTGTTAGGGCCTCTGAGTAAAACTAATGTTTCGAAGGTGCATCTGACATGTTAGTGGGACTTCCGGGTTGTTCTGGCTGGATCTTGTGTTCACCATAGACCAGAGGTGTCCAAACTATTTTGAATCGGCCCTCAGCAAAAAATATATAATGGCATGCGGCCACTTTTTGTGGGAAATGAAACTTGAGCTTGTCTTGTACTTCTTAAATATATCTGTAAACATATATTACACAGTAGTGTTCATGTGTTAATAAGCCCACTTTCAGTCAATTCAAGTTTAAAATATGTTCTAACAAATCTAAGTTGATAAGAAAAAAGCCCTTCCTATTTCCTCTTATGATAAGCAATCTAAGGCTTCTGTTTTAAGGAATGGGCTGCTAACAAAGTAAATGAAACCTTGTGGAAAGCTGTCATGTAGGCTGTTGCATCAAGCGTCATTTATTTACATTTGATTGATTTTGCTAACTTCACTTATGAGGCAATAAACCTGACCTCTATGAGTGGCCCAGCCCTTCGAATATTTTTCTGTATGTGGCCCTCGGTGAAAAGAGTTTGGACACCCCTGCCATCGACTGTACGGTGTGTACCACAGACTGCATGGTGTGGTACCATCGACTGTACGGTGTGTACCACCGACTGTACGGTGTGTACCATCGACTGTACGGTGTGTACCATAGACTGTTCGGTGTGTACCTGTTGCTCGGGGACGTGCAGGGCGGTGTGCAGCCTCTCGCTGTGCTGCTGCCTGGACTCCTCCTCGTAGACCTGATCTCTCTCGGCCTGACAGAGGAACAGGAACCTCCTGATGTTGGTCAGGTTCTCCCACAGGGTGCGGTTCTCTGGGCTCGGGCTCTCTTTCCACCTGAGCAGCTCACACAGCCAGCCCTGCAGGACATTCAGGCGCTCAGTTACTCAACCTGTGATCATTTCATGACTTTCTGTAAAAGCACAGTTTCTAAAAGGCAGGGTTTTGTTTCAGGAAAACTTTTTGTGGCAAATGTTTGTTTTTTCGTCCTGTAAGCAGTAGGGACTTAGTTTCGACTTGTCATGCCTCTTGTCCCTTGTTTCTCTGCTGTGTTTTATGTCAATGTTTTCTTCTAAAGTCTTGCTTGAGTGACTGAAAGCTGTTCTGTATATCAAATATGTCATTCCGCACATTTATTGGCTTTTTAGAAACAGTCTAAATTGTTTTTAATCAATATTTGTGGTTAACAAATTGGGTTTAAACATTGTTTTTTACAAATGGTTAATACAAACATTTAACTGGGGTCATAAGGGTTTGTTTATTTGTTTAGGGTTTATTAAAATTATCAAATAAATACATTATTTACTAGAATAGTACATGGATGATAATAGAAGATAAAAAAAGGAAAGAAAACGGAAGGAAAAAGTCTGCAAGTGTGTGTGTGTGTGTGTGTGTGTGAAGATTAGATTATCTCTGCTAGGCTGACCCAGGATCTGCCACCAGCTGTTGTTTATGCGCAGCCTTCAGCCTGGAAATTAATGGTAATAATGTGATCATCCCTCCGTCTTCTTGTCTCTCTTTTCCTCCGTCCTGCCTCCTTCTGTTCCTCCCTCTCCTCTGCGCCTCCTTCATCCATTTACCACGTTGTCATTTCAGACTTCTCTAGATGTCTCTTAAACATTAGGAGACACTCTTCCCATTTGTGTTGGTAGTAAATAATTTGTATGGAGTTTGTTAAAAGAAAATTGTTTTAAAAACCATCGCCTTTCCGTCTCTGTCTCGCCCTCTCTCCCCCTTCTTTACAGACTTTGATCTCTCCCTCCATCGCCCGCATTGTTTATCCCAGGATGGAGACATGATGGCATACCACAACGGGTAATCAGATCCCACACACACACACACACACCTGCATGTAACACACTCATCAACTCTTTAAACATCATCAAATCAGCCCGGATGTATTACACAAGGCTCGTGTGTCTACAGTACTTCTTAAAAACATTATTCAGCATATAACGAGATAATTTAACTTGTTAAAATGTATATTTTTTAGCATGGTTTGAAAAGCTGACGTCCATTTAGCCATAGGAGAGATTAACATGTGTGTTTAGAGGAACTTTTGAAGAGTTTCTTAGGGACTGATCTCCCAATCTGACAGAATAAGTATTTGTTCGATTTGTTAAACGGAAAAGGTTGATAGTCCTCGTGTCTGTATCTAATCTGTGGTTTCATTATTTACAGTCTTAAGTGTTAAAAATAGGAATATTGAACGTAAAGTGTGTGACCTTCTTTGTGAAAGCAAGTTCTTCTGCAGCCCATTTATATATTTCTAAGGGTGATATTATAGAAACAAAGGAAAGCATCTCAAAGAATGAAAAAAGAACAGTTTCTGTGGGACTGACCTGGCTTTTATTGGCGGCCACCTTGGCGAACAGCGCCTGGGAGACCTTCGCTCTCTTCATCTCCTGCTGGATCTCATCGTAGATTCCTGACGAGATGTTGCCCTGAGAGTCGAGCTTCAGCGGCAGCTCCACAGCAGACAGGATGCACTTCGTCTGCAAACAGAGACACACACACGGAGATGAGCTGCCTTACAATCTCACAAGGCTGCAGAGAAAACAAGATGTCTATATACATAATAATAATACATTATGGTGAGGGAGGAAGAGTCTCTGATGTAAGTAGAATAAGAGTGTGTGTGTGTGTGTGTGTGTGTGTGTGTGTGTGTGTGTGTGTGTGTGTGTGTGTGTGTGTGTGTGTGTGTGTGTGTGTGTGT